TTTGCTATATATTTAATTTCGAAGACATTAATTTTCTATTAAATATCGAAGATTAATTTTTGCAATATATTTAATTTCGAAGATATCAATTTTTGCTATAAATTAATTTAATTTCAAAGATATTAAATTTGATAATTTTGAGATCGTACATTCGAAGATATATCACTAATTCATCAACGCGTAAAATCAATTTCGTGACATCACCGGTTCAACGTAGTGGTCTTCCGGACTTCCATTAGCCCGATTTGTCTCGGAGATCACGGTACCGCCAAATTTTTGCGCCATCACTATGCCATCCGTATTCCTCGTGGACAAGGCCGTCAAAATATTGGCGCATTTCTGGATATTTCATTCTAGGATTACCAATTGGTATATTTACAGCTTTTAAATTAGGATATGGATTAGAAGGTCTTTGGTTTGGAGAGACATTTTGTTCAATTACTATTTGTATTATTCTTATTATTATTATGTGGAGAACTGATTGGCAACGACAATTAGAGGAATGTAAAAAACGAATGAAAGAAGGCAAAGAAAATTCGAATTTATGATTAGTGATGACTCTTATTATGATGATATTTAATGTTACGTACGTACGTACGTAGCTTAAAATTCCGAAATTTTATACGTATATTAATGTCTATATCGATATTCAAGATCTACAACCTCTTTTTTTTGATCAGCATTTAATAAAATTTAACTTGTTTGCCTACGTAACGGTAACTGTATATATTTATAAATGGAAAACACAATTCCTTCGGCAAAATTTAATCAATACCCTATAATTGTAACTTATTCTCCAACGAAAGGTCGTTATTTTGTTGCAAAAAGGGATATAGCATTAGGTGAAGTCGTATTGAAGGTCTATATTTGTATTTATCATTATTATTACTTATAAAATCTCGTATATTAATTCTCATTACTTTTATTAAAGTGTCTTCCATTATCAACGGCCCCGTTTGACAATCACAGAAAACGATATTGTTATACATGTAAAATATATAATCCTTTTTCAAATTCATTTAAATTTTATTGTAAATCTTGTGATCTTTGTTATTTTTGCGATCATGAGTGCTTTAACCAATGCTTTCCTATAGAACAAAAAATTGATGAAAAAAATTTAAAAGATAGTGATGAAAAAGTTATATGCAACAAAGCCCTCTTTTTGAAACATGAACTAACTTGTAATATATCAAGAAAATTTTCATCATGGAATATTAATGATAAACATATGAAAAGTGTTGTGAGATTATTAGTACAAATTTTGGCAGAGAGATTAATAGAAAAGAGTGATTCAAAAGAGAAAATAGATATTGAGAAAGAATCTTCAATTAATAATAATGAAAGCTCTCCAAAATTAAATGAACAAACGTCCTCTGTCTTTATTTCAAAAAATTCCGACTTTTCGATTACTTTAAAAAATAATTTTCAAGATTTTTTGCTCTTACAATCCCATTATTTAAATTGGCCAAATGATATTAAACGAGATTGGCTAAAACATGAAAAATTTTTGATGAATTTGTTTAAGTCATCAAAGTTACTTGATGAAGATGCAAAATTTGAAGACCTCTTACACATGGTCTCAAAAATCGAGAACAATGGGTTTGGTGTGTATTATAAGTGTAAGGGAAAGAATGTTTTGTTTGGCAGAGGTAAGGTGAAATTTTCACGGATAAACATTTGCATCTTTAATCTGATAATCCGTGCAGCTATTCATTCACAGCTTACTATTAGCCATATATCCATACGCATCCTTCTTTAATCATTCTTGTGACGCGAATTGTGACGCAATTCAAGACAATTGTGATAACGATAAAGATGAAACACAACTGTCAACTCTAATAGATGATGAATCAAAATTATCGTGTAATAGTAAAAAATTGCGTGGTGAAATGAAGTTTGTTGCCCGTCGCAATATTATTAAAGGTATTAATTATTCATTACTTAATCATTATTATAAGCTGAAATTAAATCTATTATCCTTGTATTATTTACTTTATATCACAGGAGAAGAACTTACAATTTCTTATATACAAGATGAGAACGGCTTATTGCCACTTCAATCACGCAGACAGAAACTTCTAAGTGAATATTATTTTTTGTGTCAATGCTCTAAATGTATTATAGATGAAAAACAGTATAGAAAAAAAAGTAAAAATACCAAGAATAGAAATGTAACATTAAACACGTAAAAATTTTTAATACGCTTATATTCTTATTATGTCTTATCCGGTCTTGTTACAATATCTTCCAATTTATTTCCGAATTTTACAATATTGCAACGAATTACTCGAGGGTCTGAATTTAATCTTTTCCTTATTTCAGCCAACACCACTGGGTTAGTATCAAAATGCATCAACCAAAAACTATTATTAAAAAAAAAAAGAAAGGACGGTTTTAAGAGAAGTTCGGTAAAATAATTAATAAATAATGAATAATAAAATTAAGCCGTACTGTCCATCAGTGTGATATTCTTGATGCCTTCGTGTTCTGGTGGCTAACGGCATAGTTCCCCAATTCTCAAAGCCCCTAACAACACCACCCTGTTCTAATACACATTTGGCCGTAATTTTAACTAAATTTTTTAAATTTGCCTATATTTATGAGAATAAAAATTTTAAGAATCATTCTGATATTAATTATAATTCTTGACATAATTTTTATATAACCTCCATTAGATTTGCTCGAGAAATGCAAAGGAGCTCATAAAAACCCATATTTTTTAGTTACGTGACAAAAAAAGTGAGATGTAGAATTTAGAATTTATCTATTATCGGCATCTGAAAATCATATGAAGCACATGATCTCATTAGATTATATATTAGAGTACCGGATTTCTTTTAATTATATACTAATAACGTCATGTCTTCGGCAACGAATGCAACGAACCAACTTCTTCCATTAGGTAAATTTATTCCTTTTTAATCTTTCAAAAGCAAAAACTCTTGACTTTTAATTTCTTTTCTTATATTGGCTTTTTATTGGGTTGTACCATATAAAATAGAGCTAATTGACAAATGTATTGGCTCAAAGATTTGGGTCATTATGAAAAGTGAAAAGGAATTTACTGGCACTTTACTGGGTTTCGACGACTATGTCAGTATCCTTTTTTAAATATCTGCTAGTTACTTTATAATTCCACTATTGAAATGATAATGACGCGTTAATATATATTCTTAACCTAATAACCATTTATCTTAGATATGGTACTCGAAGATGTAACAGAATAGTAAGCATTCTTTACGTAATTCAAATTTTTGATAAACCACTCAGATTATTATTAAATATTTATATTATTTCTAAGCGAAAATACGCCGGAAGGTCGTAAAACAACCCATCTAGAACAGATTCTATTGAATGGAAACAATATTACTATGGTAACAAAAATAATCAAATGCTTTATATGGTTTTATGAATAACTATCTAACGCCCAAAAATTGTTTTTTAAAAAGCTTATTCCCGGTGGTGAAGGTCCTGATTAATAGTAATCCCGGCCCATAATTTAATTTTCGGTTTAGCCGGTCGATTTTTTTTCAAAATCGATTGATCGATTCCTTATAATGATAATAATTCACGTATAAGCTTTTGATCATTACAAAAAGTCGTTTTTTTTTTCTTGCATATGTATTGTTCTTCTCCATTTTGTTCATTCCATTCTGATGAAAGATACAAAATTCGTATCAAAAATACTTTAACTGAATACCCGGTGGATCCCAAATTAGGAAAATTGAAATTTTAGTAAATAGCAAGCACAGTAATGAATTATTATTAATAAACCATCAATGAAACCTCCTTAAATAAGTTTCGTTCTCTGACATTACTCCTGCAAATCTAATCTTTAGAAATTTGTCATATGGGCGCTCGTCAATAGAAAAGCGGTAAAAAGTTTCTAAGTAAAAGTTTTTTAAACTTTGAATTAAAATATTTCAATAACCACCAAACTAAATTTGATAATTTTTTTTTATATTTTAATTATATATAGCTATAAAATTAAATAAAAAATATTTTATTTAATTTGATTTAGTAGTTATTAAGCTATTTTAATTTAAAATTTAAAAAAAAGTAATAAAAACTTTTTACTTCTTTTTTATTGATAAGCTTCTATATATATTACTTGACCAAACCCAAACCAGACTTAGACTAGACTTAGATTCAAAAAAATAAATATGTTTATTAGACAAATCAACTAACTATATTTAGTTTTATTAATTAATTAAGCTAGCCAATCAAGTTGTTATATATAGAGTTTTAAAATTATCATTTTTGATTAGCAATAGCTATACTCAAACTTATGGATTTAGAATCTATCTAAATTAAATAAAATTCTAAAATATGTTAGAGTTGTTAAAAAATTCTAAATTAACTTATATTAAAACTAAGTATATTTCAAATTACTTCATAAAGTACTTATTTTTTGAAATTAAGTTGCTTAAATTAATTAAATTTAAAAGCATATATACATATATATAATATTAATAAGAATAGTAAAATTCTAATCTTAGATTTTTGAAATAATCTAATAATTTAATTTCTATTAAGCTACTATAATATCTCAATCTGATATATATTTTTTGAATACTACTTATATATTTATTATAATATCAAATTTAAAACCAACTTGATATTAAATTTGATTGTTAAATTTAGAATCAATTTAGATTGCTTTTAAGTTTTATTTTAACTTGGGTTATATTTAAAATTCTGTTTCAATCTAAGTAAATTCTAAATCTACAATAATTTTATTTCGATATACAATATATATATATTGTTAGATTTAGATTACAAGATGAATCTGTAAAAATAAATTTTGGCTATAAAACATAAAGGCTCAATCAATTTTTTTTTATTTAAAATTTAACCTTATCTAAATATCTATTTACAACAATGTAGCAATAACTAATGAAAATATTAATAAAATTTAATAAATGTATTAGTATTAGAATATTAAAAAAAATTTATTGAATCATAGACACTAGTCAAATATAAGAAATTCGACTACCAAATGAAATGGCCGATTCGTCCTGAATTCGATAGCCAAATATTTAGCTAATTTTATAGGATTATTGGAATAATTCGATCTAAATTAGATAGCTAATTTTATATTGAATTATTGGAAAAATTCGATCTGAATTCGATAGCTGAATATTGGCTAATTTTATATCGAATTATTGGAAAAATTCGATCTGAATTCGATAGCTGAATATTTGGCTAATTTTA